GTTTTGAACATCCAGCTTTCAGATATGGGGCTCAAAGGTAAGTTTCCTCGAGGAATCCAGAATTGTTCAAGTTTGACTGGCTTAGATCTCTCAAACAATGAGCTCTTTGGGCCAATTCCAGTTGATATTTCTAAAATAATCCCGTTTGCAACTACCCTTAAGCTCTCATCAAACAATTTCTCTGGTGAGATCCCAGAGAACCTATCAAATGTTACCTACTTGAATGTCCTTAACCTTGACCATAATCGGTTGACGGGTCAGATCCCTCCAGAGCTTGGTCTGCTGTCCCGACTTAAAACTTTTACGGTAGCTGATAACCTGCTAACAGGACCAATCCCAGTTTTCCAGAATTCAATTTCGGCAGATAGTTTTGCCAATAATCCAGGACTCTGTGGAAAGCCTTTGGACTCTTGCCAGTCACCTGCAGCGAACGCTCACACTGGAATCATTGCTGGGGCGGCAGCTGGAGGGGTAACAGTTGCAGCAATAGGTGTGGTTATTGGTCTGTACTTTTATCACCGTAGAATGTCTATAAAGAGGAAGAAGGATGATGATCCAGAAGGAAATAAGTGGGCAAAGAGCTTGAAGGGAGTCAAAGGCATTAAGGTAAGTTAATTTAATAATATTTTTTAGAATGTAGAAAGGCACTTGCCTTCTTTATGATTATCTATGACTAGGTTTTCTTTTATTTTATTTTATTTTTCTTTAATTATGTGTTTATTATCTTTGATGTACTGATAAGTCAGTGGAATATCCAGGTTTCCTGCTTTGAGAAGTCGGTTTCTAAAATGAGATTAAGTGATCTCATGAAGGCTACTAACAGTTTCAATAAAAGTAATATCATTGGGTCAGGAAGAACAGGGACTATGTACAAAGGAGTGCTTGAAGATGGCACTTCCCTTATGATTAAGAGATTGCAGGATTCACAACGCTCTGATAAAGAATTCTCATCTGAAATGGCTACTTTGGGAAGTGTGAGACATCGTAACTTGGTGCCCCTCTTAGGTTTCTGTGTGGCTAAGAAGGAGAGGCTTTTAGTTTACAGATACATGCAGAAAGGTATGCTCCATGATCAGTTACATCACATGGATGATAGTGGCAGTGATTTGGAGTGGCCTTTGAGGCTTAAAATTGCTATAGGGGCTGCCAGAGGGTTTGCATGGCTCCATCACAGCTGCAATCCTCGTATACTTCATCGAAATATAAGCTCAAAATGTATCTTGCTGGATGCAGATTTTGAGCCCAAAATATCTGATTTTGGTCTTGCCAGGCTCATGAACCCAATTGATACACATCTAAGCACATTTGTGAATGGTGAGTTTGGGGATTTGGGTTATGTTGCCCCTGAATATACAAGAACTCTAGTAGCGACTCCGAAGGGAGATGTTTATAGCTTTGGAGTCGTACTTCTTGAGTTGGTAACTGGTGAGAGACCTACCCATGTGGCAAAAGCTCCTGAAAGCTTTAAGGGAAATCTGGTAGAATGGATTGCAGAGTTATCAGGCAATGGCAAACTCGAAGATGCCATTGACAAATATTTGGTTGGGAAGGATGTTGATAATGAGCTTTTCCAATTTCTTAAAGTTGCATGTAGATGTGTGTTGCCAGCAGTTCACAAAGAGAGGCCTAGTATGTTTGAAGTATTCCAGCTTTTAAGAGCTATTGGTGAACAATACAATTTTACAGCTGAGGATGAAATTATGATGCCTGCAGATTCTGGTGATGCTGATAAGTTAGAGGAACTTATTGTTGCTCGAGACGTTGAGGAGTAAGAATTGAAAAAGGTATGAGAAAGCACATTAGTATATCACTGTATGTTGGCATAGTTTATGTGTAGTTATTTATTTTCATGCATGTTAAATAAGTTTTAAAATGAAATGTATTTTTTGTGCTTTAACTATTGGTCCAACTTTTCTATATTATGTATTCACTATGATGGCATCATAATTTCCCAAAATCTGTAATTGGTTATTTGTCTTACATTTCATGGTAGGGTACTGAATTGGAGTTCTAGTTAAAACTTTATATTCATTGGTTTTAGTGTTGTGCTCTTTTATCTATTTCTTTCCCCTGAATTGCTGTCTGTCCAAAAAGAATAGATTCTTATCAAGTGAATGCTATTTCATGTATCTGCATCACCATATACTAATGACATTTTCTTTGTCTCCCCTTCTTTCTTCTAGCTGAATAGATTCTTATTGCTGTCTAGTTGTCAATACATGGTTGTAAACAAGCCGATTATTGAGGTACTTGAGCCTAGCTTGGCTGATCTGTGTGTGTTTATACAATATGACATACTATATAATTTATTTATTTTTAAAAATTATCAAGCTTCGTATGAACTTTTACTGAGCTCGAGCTCAATAAACTAAATGAGCTCAAACTTGAACTTGAACTTGAACTTAAGCTCATTTAGTAAATGAGTCAAGCTTGAATTGAGTAATTCTCTAACTACTGAACTCATGAATGGCCATGGACTTGTAGATTTCTGAAATCTGAATCAGGTTGACATGTTGGTTACCACTTGTGCCATGTTAATGCATGGATCTTTTTTATGCTGGTACGTTGTTTAGTCAATAATGGTTAATATGTTTAATTTACTCTTTCAGATATGCATTTGTGTTTTATTTCTAATCCTTGACAGAATAGTTTAATCGGTTTATTGAGATCATGTCATATATAGATGGTCTCCATTGTTGGGTTTTGGAACGTCCTACATTGTAGGTTTCTGTATCAATTTTACGTTTTTTGCTTTAGGATGAATGCATTTTTCACCACAATCTTTGAATGAAAAGGAATTTTTTTTTTTTTTTTTCTAATTCAGCCTCTTTAAGAAGAAAAGAAAAACTCGAAACATTTAAACAACTGAAACATGGAAAACAGAAAGAAAAAGAAAACCTCAGTCCTTTATTGCTGATTAGTTCAGTACAAATCCATCAATGTTCCTGTCTGAACTTCTGTTTTCATCGTCTGTCTAGCTGAACTCCTCCACTTGCTTCCATTCTTCCCAATACCTTCCCCCTTTTTTCTCCTGTCGTTTCCTTTATGCACAGCTCTAAAACCTCTCTCCTAAGAACAGCTTGCTCGTGCTTGGATTCTGTTCTTCAAACATCTCCTTCGTATTCTGCTGCTGGGTTGGTCCAATCACCATAGAGGCATTGTCACCGGGGGAATTCCCAGAGTTAAAGCCTCATAATCAAAATTAATGCTGCAAGTGGGTACCAGAGCATCCTATTGACTCATGCCCTATTACTTCCATTTTGCAGACGCTAACCCACCTGCAAATCCTCCTCCATTGAATCCTCCACAAACTGGGCCGGTAGCTTGGCCATTTCCGTCAGCCTCGCCACATATAAGTAGCGATGAATCTCCCAATATGGTCAGCAACTCAGCGTGACAGAGGACCAATTTGGTACTAAATTGATGAGTTCAGAGACCAGAAGGGTTACAAAAAAAAAAGGACTAATTTAGTACAAAATCACAAAGTCGAGAGATCAGAAAGGTAATTAAACCAAAAAATAATTCATCGAATGATAATGCACTCATATGAAAAAGCAAACTAGTATTAGTCAATTTTACATCATTTTTATTCAGAAACAATTTGGAATCACAAGAAAAGGTATCTGATTCGGATTCCCATTTCAAACTAATGGTCAAAAGTGGATACTACTTTAGTTACAAATTCATCAATGCTCTTATCTGAACTTCCACCCTCATCCATTGCCTCTCTAGACAATTTCTTCCACTTGCTTGCATTCTTCTT